TTAAAGCTTTTAATTCATTATAATCTGCTTGTATATTATTTTGTTCAAGAAAATTAAAAGCAGTTTCAAAAGCTTTTACAGCTTCATTTATTGAAACATTAGGAATAGTTGTACTACTTACAATAACATCCTCCTCTTCAACTTCCTCTAAAGAATTAAGAATTTCCTCTTCAGTTGGCATTTCATTATTCTCATTATTATCAATTGATATATATTCCTCTGCTGTTAATGCTGAACTGAAATTTAATCTATCAATTAAATTATCAACATCATCTCTTTGGTCATTTGTAATATTTTGTATTAATGTTGTTGCATCTCCAACTTGTTCTTCATAATCTAAAGGAATAATACCAGTTTTTATCCAGCAATTATTGATAGTGATTGATGTAACATTTTTCCAGGCTTCTGAGACAAAATTTATTGCCTTTCTAACATCAATTTCTTTTGGATTTAAACCATTTTGTTTCTTATCAAAAATTTTAATCTTCCTTGCAATAAATAATTACCGGTAATTTGACTGTAAATATAAATACATATAAATAATTTGATATATTTGATACAAATAATTTAATAAATAATTTAAATTGTTTGAAATACAGACCTTAAAGGAATGAATTATCCCTGCGTCACATGGTTGCAAGTGTGCAGTTGTGTTTGGAGGAAAGTGATGAATTTACATTTCTTAAATCTAAATTATCCATTAAAATATGTGTTGGTGCATTATCAATAAGTAATAATATATTCCTATTTGCAGTGTGCATTTTATCATCCAATTTTTTTAAGTAATCATTCCTATAGAAACTTGCATCCATGCTTTACTATTCCAATAATATTCAACAGGCAATGTATCTTTTTTAATCCCTCTTAATGGTCGAGGGTTTTCATATTTATGAATAAATAAAGGAAGTAACTTTTCAGTACCAGTTGCATTACAAGTCAATAATACTGTTACTCTTTCTTTATTTAATTTTAAGCCTGAAATGGGGGCTGTTGATAATCCACGGGTTGGTTCCATCTTCCAATAAAGGCCTGTCTCATCACAATTAAAAATATCCTCTCTTCTGTAATTTTTAAGAACATCTTTCAATTCTTCTCTCATTCTAGGAATCTGTTCAATAGGTGCACTTTGAGATTCTCCACGTTTATTGTGTTCTTTAATCAAATACCCCTGTTTGAGTTTATCTGCAAATTTTAAAGCCTTTTGTTGAATAACATTACCTGTAATTGTTACATTCGTTGCATTCAAACATCTTCAATACTAGCAACAGGAGAAGTATGTGCTTTTTTTAATTTTGCTTGATAAGAATTTGGATCGATTCCAAGCCATCTATTAGACTATCAACATGTTTTTTGGAAGAAGATGATAATTGTTGAGATATTTTATAATGATAATTTACCCTCTAAAAAAACTGATTCGTGATGAAGAGATTACAGGGGAAGATGGACTTTGCCACTGTGGAAATTTTCAAGAGTACTTCTGGAATTAAAATTTCAAAAAATTTTTTTTATAGAGATTAAAGAAATTAAAGAAACTATTAATTGTGTATGTAAATAACATTAGAATATATTTATTTATTATCAATAAAGGAAACTTAATCCTACTTTTTGGGTAAATAAAGAATTATTAATGTAAAGCCATTAGTCATTATTTGGAAATGTGGAGAATTTTGATTTATAATACAGAGGCGCAGATGCATGGAATACATAAAAGAGCATAGTGGAAGTTCTTTGTTACACAATGTTATGCAGAACCCATTGCTCTTGAAACTTCACCAGTATATAGTTGTTACTTCTCTAAATTGGAGATCAGGTTCAGATCCAATTCAAATCTAGTTTATCACTTACTTTTTATTGCCAGAATGTCTGCTGTGTATTTTAAAGTTACATTGCACAATATAAAAATTTGTGTAACATTCCAAATTTCCACTATGCTACAGAAAAGTTGTTCAGTATATATACTAATGTTAATACTAATAGCATAGTGGAAATTTGAAATGTTGCACTAATCTTTTATATTTTGCAACGTAGCTTTACAATATGCGCCAAACATTCTGGCAATAAAAAGTAAGTGATAAACTGGATTTGAATTGGATCT